TCACTTCTACTCGAAATGGAAGTAATCCCAACAAGTCTTGTTATGCCGCGTGGAAATTACTTCAACTTTTACCAGGTATACATCGCTTTCAAATTAAAAAAAAGGCTATGGAAGGGTAGTGTGCTTATCTCAAAAAGGTAAGCCAAGTCACTACGAATTTATTGGGGCAAATCTGTACAAAGAAGAATTCTATACACAGACTTTAGTCGGCAGATAACGGTTGTCCTCAGCTAGTGACTCGATCTTAAGGCCAAGGGACTACATGTTAATGCAACGTAGAAAGCTTTCGCCCTGTTTTGGCGACTTTCAAAATCTCAAGGGCTACTACTGTTGGTTTGCTCCTGAAGGAAACAATGCTGTTTGTCCTGTGTAGGCTTAAGGACTGACGCCTAATAGGCAGTAACCTATGTACTTTAAGAAAGAGGGACAGCGACGATAAGTGCGGTGAGGCTTAATCGAAGTGTGTATGCGCTCTCCTGAGTCACCACCGGGCTCAGAGGTTGGATGCCCAAGCCTTTTCCATAAACGAGTTGTCTATATAAGCGACCTAGTAAATTAAATAATGCTCTTGAAATTTGCTGCTTATTAGTACGGGCTCCTAAACCCAAAAGAAGAGTTGTGATTTCGTGACCTAATGAGTGATTCATTTAAATGAAAATTATGCATGCTTCTAATTGTCTTTAGTAAAATCGAGCGCGAACTATGTGTTCGAAATAAATAGGATTCAGTGTCATGGCAAATCTGGTTAGACTACTATTGCTTCGAAAAATCGATAATTATGCTACAGTATGTGTCCTACATATTTAGTCAAATTAAGAAAAAGATTAAAGATCTTACCTGGTAGGCATGATGGCCAAGATCGCATGGCCTTATGATTGATCGCAGTTTTCTTAAGCCGTAAAAGGTCAGTTTGACCTCGTTTTCGCAAGATGGTGGAAGTGACAAGGAGACTATGGAATATACTTAGTACTGTCCCCCTGTCAATATTTATGAAAATTTTCAGCTTGGGATCATTGTCTTTGTAAGTATCTAGGCGTTTCGCTGGTGCCTTCCTTGAGAGGAGCTACCCTTAGAACAAAGTTAGTTTAATAAGTTGTGTAAAGTATAGCTCCTTTTGCTGAATACGCCGACTGCGAATCCGGCCAAATGCCTATAAATGTAATAAGTGCATGGTAAAAAGTTGAAATTAACGTAAATACTGACAGGTCGCAAGACTGGGTATGTTCCACAATGTCTTGCTGTTGCTCTGACAAAGTTCCGAAGCAGATCAAAAGAACAGTGGGACCGTTTAGCCGAGGCGTAGATGCTACTATTTGAGGTTTAGAATTGAGTATAAAACTGCAATGTGCCTCTAACGTCAAAATATACAAGACGAAGAAAGCGGTGTGAAAAGCAAAGGAGCAAAGAGTACTCTGTGATAAAATACGTCTAGTAAAATTTTCCCACAATGATGAGTTAAGCCGTCGTTTCCTTTGAATTTCGCATAGCCTTGCCTTCCCAAAAATTGTTCTCATCCAAGGTGGACTTCAGTTTCGACCTCGCATCGGTCTTATCAAGACCTTAGACGAAATAGGGTGAATACATCTCATATTAATGATTTACTGGTATTCTTGAAACTCTACTTCAATACGAAAATAAGCAACGTAGTCGATTGTTATAGCAAATATACATTTGCCTTATCGGCACTCCCACCAAAGAATATGATATGGTAAAAAAAAGGCCCGACCTTCCTTGAAATTCACTTATGCCCTGTGGTTCAAGGGCACTCGTGGCAGTGTAGCCGAGTTGTTAGTGTGTCAAGCTTTCATCCTTCACTGTCGTGGTCCTACTCCCGCTGAGAGTGTTGATAAGACTGATGCGAGGTCGAAACTTCAGTCCACCTTGGATAAAAACAACTTTTGGGAAAGCAAGGCTATGTGAAATTTAATGGAAACGTCATCTAAACTCATATCATTGTGGGAAAATTCTACTACCAGTCCTTCATCACCTTAGACGAAATAGGGTGAATTCATCTTATATTACTGATTTACTGGTAGGCTCGAAACTCTACTTCAATACTAAAATACTTCTGCCTAGCGACTAGTTAGCAGACTTACTTTGCTTGCACAATTGTTCTACGAATTTGGTTGATATCATCAGATGTGATCGTTTACTCTGACTTACGTCTGCAAGTCAGATGTTTATTATTAAATACATAGCCGGGTGGCCTGGGTTAATCAACATACAGGTGGATTTCATCTTCCAAGGATTTCTGCACAGTATTATCTAATAAGGGGATGCAATTACCCTAATTTTTTATTCGAATACCAAGGTGGTATGGTCGCAGTCTCCTTTCGAAGTATTGGATTGGGTTGACCTCGTTCTCACAACTTAGTCTTCTCTTCAATGTGAATTATTTGGACGAACCTCTTTCAAAGTCCCTGCCATACTAGTTATCATAATTCCCAGCGTCAAACAATGGACTTGGTACATTCCCAGAAGTTTTGCC